AAGGAACGTCTACGTCACGGAGTCCAATATCGTGTCTTGTAAGCAACCGCAGTATTAGCTCCATAAATCACCACGAGCAAATTGTTATCGGCGACTCTCGGGCTCACACCCTGACAAATGCACATCGGATGGAGTCTCAGCCAAGGGAGGCCTTTGACTTCCGCCTGAAAGCTTTCGAAGATTACCTACCAATGCGTGACTGAATTCAAAGACACGTTTAGATACTTTTTTGCTACGTCAGCGATATTCGCTTTGCTATTTCCGTTTTTATATTGAACGCCTATCAAGGTAAGTTAGTTGTATGTACAGGTTTTGAAAAGATTTAGGTAAACGTAAGAGATAGGTACTTATGTTTTTCGACGGTTTGGAAGGTGGTGTTTTCTTAAATTGTGTTTGTTAACTTACAATTTACTTTTTACTAAGTAGGTATATGAATGTCATGTCTGTGTGTGGCATTCTCTTCCTATCTTATTGTCATGTTAAAACGGAGTAGCGGACGGATTTATGTTTTTTTTTGCATTAATACACTTAGTTTGTGTACAAGAGAGCTCCATCCATCAATTCCATCAATCTGTCCCACAGGAAAATAAAATATCGTGGGCAGACAGCTAGTAGGTAACAAAGTAGGACATCTCTACATATGCCTAAGAAAGAAGTAAGTAGGCTTATGGTAAGTATAAGCCTTTTTATCTGATTTTAGTAGACTGGCATGAAAGTAAACACGTACTTAATGGCGGCACAGAATTTGGTACTTTTGTTGTGATTCACTCAAAACTTTCATCTGAAACTGTGGCAGTATCCACTTTAGCACAGTTTATAAAGCGTCCCTTCCAAACAAGAATACATCATCGTCCCTTTTACGGGTATACATCAATTTGAGAGTGTTATGAGCCACCGGCTTTTAATTTACATGTAAATAACATGTAAAAAGTTCAGTCATCGACAAAGCTAATAACATTTACTTACCAACATACCAATGAGGCCAATTTGTTTGTGTTTTTTTAAATAAAATTTTACTACTGGTAGTATAGTATTCTACTTTTATTTACAACGCGAACGCCTTGATTCAACATTGTGACAAACTTGATAGGATAAGTTTATCTGATTATCCTCTTAAAACTAAGAAAATAAACTGCAGTGTAAGGATTTTAACTCAATGGTACCTATATACGATATGTAGTAAAACCGATACATAATAATACAAATCCAGTCTTCAGGCTTACATTTGGCAACTGTACTTAATTTACTTTTGGTAAAAAATGTCTTAAACTTATTCGTATCTCCAACACATTTATCAGATCTTAAAGCATTAAAATAGCTTCTCTATTTTAATACTTTAGTCATATAAAACCATCGCGTTGAGACACGTGTTTCTCTTTAACATATTTATCTTTTTCCTAGTCTGTCCATTTGGTCATTAGGTAAGTAATCCTTATTTTACAACGCCATTGTGGTTCCCGAGGTTGTCGATAATCCGCGGGGCGAAGCGCCCGATAAATCTTCATTACGGCAGTCGATACAGAGCATTGGTATTGGCAATGCTTACTAATCGGACTCCGCTGAAGCTATTTTTAATTACATTCGTTAGACAGTACATAAAAATAAAATAAATCAAGGAAGTTGTGAAAATCGTGTAAAGATTAATTCGCAATAAAAAGTAATAACAAAAACAAAATACCTACTAAATTGAGTTCCCAACGTGGTTTCTAAAACTGAAATTATAAATAAGAAGCAGAGTTCCTTAAAATATCTATATTCTAAATATTATAATGTAATTAAGACACCCCTTACCATACTTAGGTGTAATGTGCGTACTTTCCTAACAGCCCAACCAAACTATACCGCAAGAAGTCTGTAGTCTGGGGTGTCTAAGTAGAACTAATTTTGGAAACTACACTACAACTATACAGTACCTAATACGAATCGAACTTGTGAAAAGATAGTGCATTTGTATCGCGGCGCCCCATGTTGACAAAAGTGATCGGTGACGAGGCACTCCGTGTCCCGAGACAGAGGGCGCTGCCTGCCGATCGCTGTCGCATTTTTGTTAATAGGTCCCTATTTTCTTTTTGGCCTTAGTTATAAGCTGTAGCGATTTTATGAGTGTTTTCTTTTTCTTTTAATAAAATCATTTAAACTGACAGAAACATAATTCTAACGCGATAACTTAGTGGTAGTGAAAATTGGAGAAAAGTGCATGATGGGAACGTGGAGCATATTTACAAACTTCTAAGAAACCACCTCGTAAGTTAGGCCACAGAATAATAATGTTAGGCGTCTTAGTTCAAACACATGACATGAAATTATGTGCATATTATTTCGGCTTTTTGCGATCTTTAAATAATTTTACTATAGGCTATCTTGTACATGTATTGTTTATCTTATAGTTTTTATTAAATCAAACAATTTATGATGATGGCAAAAAGTGACTGCGAAAGAGAGAGATAATGGAGTAGTAACATAACATCCTACAAAAAATTATGGAAAAGGGGAACGACTCACGACGAAAAAATCTTGTTTGAGGTTATCAAACAAGATTTTTTCTACTTTTACGGCGCGAATATAAACTGTCAAAATATGTATAAAAATAACAAAAGAAAAGTTTTTCCCTTGCACCAAGCGCCAATGTCCCTCCGCCGAGGGTCAGTGTAACAGCGGGGGCCGGCGACAGCCCCGAATAAAAGGGCCCTGAGAAAACTCGCCCCCTTTGAAGCGTACCTACTCGTACAACCCGACCCCATATATCGCGATTTAGCTGCAACTCTGTTTTGTTTTGTGCCGATAATTCTAGTGTAAGTAGTAAAATGAAAGGATATCTGTAGTATTAGTATCGTCTTCTTGTATCTCTTGAATCGCCTGTTTTCTCCCGGTCAGCTTAAAAGCATGCTTCCCTGCAAACGTTTATGCAGATCGGAATATTTGGTTACGAATTTGTTGAACGGCAAACCTTAACAAACGTTTATTCTGAACCTAATAAACACAGTTTTATAAGTTATGGCCCCTAATTCGATTATTGTTTAGTACATTTAATTTTTTTGTCTCAACTCAGCTTTGTCATTACGTTTTTCCTGTTGCAGATCTATCTGTACTAATGAATAAATATCTAAAAATATTTTATCTGCTAGGTACGAGCTATTAAAACTTTACTTACAGTGTTTATTCCTCAGGCCATTTACATAATATTTTTCCAAGAAACATTTATGATAACCTACAGCTATCGGTAAATAATTATTTACCCCGTATTACCGCATTATTTACCCCATTTTTTTCCGGCGACATGATCTAAAGAAAACTTCTCAGAACCCTTCAATATTATTGCAGCATTTTGCGCTATTTACCCGAGATAAGACGTAATGGTGGACATTATTTTCCTGGAACCATTCTCTAATCTAAACTGAGATAAGAAAATAAAAATAGAAAGGATTGAATTGAATGAAATGAGACAGATTATCGAATTGTAGAGTTGTTAGAAATTAGAAAAGAAGATAATAGGTTCTGAAATAACTGGTTTTCCCAGTATTTTATTTACAGATGGCTGTACTTCAAGCTAATCCATATTAATGTTAATTGGTTGGGATCTATTACAAACTATTTATTCGATACTACAGGTTTATGTGCATGGCTTATAATATTATTCAGTCAATAACTAAAACGAACTCTTATTGGAGAACTCTATAATTTGATTACATAACATTTGATAAAGTAATTAAGTATGCCTAACTTCTGAGCAACTCGTGCGTGTTATAAATTTAATTATGAAATTATTTGATCAGCCTTTACATTTGCGTATCTAATCTAATAGGTACATTGTCATGCTAACTTGAGAAACCTATGCAAAATGCATGTAAAAACGATATTCGCGACTTTCGAAATAAAAAATAAATATCACAATAACATACTCTGTGAATAAAATACTAAACGATCACAACATTCGTCAGTAATCGTATTCGTTGCTTTGTTCGAATCCAAACTCGTAATTGTCAACTTTTTGTCCCTATCACAAACAAAAAACTAACCCAGACGGTCGTTAGATACAATATTTAAATAAGTATTCCTTGTCAGGACTACGGAACCCTAAAAATAATGCAGCTCTACATTCATGAAAATGCTCTAATAACTTCTATTTCCAAATAAAATCGATGTTCTTAGAAATCGGATGGAATATTTTGCATAGCTTCCATGTCACAAATATGCCTGAATGGTTGTCAGAACTAACGACAGTTGTATGACTGGTGACAGCGAACGGATGGGAGCGAACGCGCGCGAGCGTGGGCGAGAGAGGGGAGAGGGGGGCGGGGGCGCTGACGTCACGCGCGCATGAGCAGATCGGGACTCCTTGCGGCACAGAGCACGGGAGAGATATAGAGGCGGAATTTATTAACATAGTTGAATATAAATTGTTGTTTTTAAATAAGAAAAACAAAGGAGTTTAATAACTTTGAAATGTTGATGGTCTTTGTCATACTTTGCTAATTAAAACTATATTTTTAAAGTCCAAATCGGGGTATTGAGCAAAAAAATATGTTGGTAAGTATAACGCTGGGTTGCTTGCACCATCTCATTGTAACTTTAACAAACGTCAATAATATGTCAAACTCCATGCAAAAAGCATCGGTTATCTTCATAGTTACGGTCAAGGTTAGCTGGTGCTACTCAGTCTAATATTATAAAAAGTCGCGTTAAATAAAACAGAAGTATTTATTATATTTATTATAGGTACCTACTTTTTGCGTAATAAAATAAAATAAAATTTTGGTTGTTACAAAAATAAATTTCAATTTCGCCTAGTGCCTCTGTTGCCATTGAAATAATTTTCAGAATCTAGAATACGTAACAAACATTTTAACAAAGTCAAAACATACAATAAAAGACTAGATAATATAGACTGATATTTGCTGTTTGACTTTCAACATTAAAACATAAGATGAAAAATGCATTCCCTGATCCTTCTGTGTCGGCCGGGTGCTCTGTGCAGTGCAATCCGTACGCGCTCTCTCCGAGGCAGCAGTCGACTCGCCGCGCGCGCGCTACGAACGCGTCCGCTACGCCGTAGCCGGCTGCGACTACGTACTACGACACCTGTGACTGTGACCTGGTGACGTGTTGTGAAAATACTACCGTGATTTTTATCTGAACTAGTACTTATACAAGTGGGTGGCAAATAAGGTGGGTGTATAATATAATTATGATCATCAACAGATGCCAACATGCTCTAATGTCAAGGACACGGTTATTGATCAAGCTAAGGACCAAACTACGTGTTTATTGTTTGTTTTGTCACTTCCAGAATTTTACTCCGGTGGCGTGCGTGAAGTGTATTGGTAATTAAATATAAGGTTTTTCCGCGAGGGGAAAGGGAATAGCGTAAGGAATAAGCTCAGTAGGCTCATAGAAAGTAATGCGCGACAAAGGGATGGTTGACGGGGCTCGGAATAATTTATAAGATAAGGTGCCACCTTGCGTTACAAGCCTCATGAATTGGGAATGCGTTCTGAATTTTACTAAAAGTGATCCGGTTTTACGGAAGGTACTTAAAGCCATTTTTGTTTAATGCAGCAACTTCTGGACGCTCAGCATTTTATGGAGCCGATATTAAACGGGAATATTGGATAAGTAAATTATGATGGCGTACCTACTTTCCTTGTAATGAAATTCCTTATTACTTTAATCTGGATATTTTAATTTGTTGGACTGTAAGGCGTCCTTAATGCGAATAATAGGAATCTTTTAGACAATTTCATTTACAATAGGAAATTCTCGCTGGTTTCTGTATTATCAAAAAGCCTATGTGAATACTTTTTAAAAGCTTTATAAATGCTGAGTTAATTAAAACTGAAGTCTGTTAGATGGATAGAAGCATCAAGAACAAGGTGAATCAAAAATACCTGTACAATACTATAACAATGGTTTCTCAAATAATAATCTCTTTTAATTTAGGACAAACCATCTTCAACTTAATAGAGAAACTACTCAAGTTAATATTTTACATTTGAGCTAAATATCTCAGAAGTGTCCATTGTGAGATTGGCATTATCCTCTCTTCTGGTTTATTATCCTCAGTGTTCATAATATTTTACTCCTAGCCTTGTGCTTGGATTACAGCCAAGTTATTCATAAGAACTAGCTGAAACTCCAGTAACTCTTAGTTAATTCTATCATGGCTTTATTATTAAAGTATTTCTGCTCTATCTCTGTTCGCTTGATTAATTTCTTAGTTAAAATGTAGGTAGGTACTTTGTCATATGAAAATTAAAGTCTTTGTTTATATCTTTCATAATTATTCTGATGTTATATAATGTCTACATTCTAATATTTGGTCACTTGAGATTTAGGACGTTTGGAACAAAGAACAGACGGTAATGTGGCAGTTAAAAAATAATAAAACTACCTACGCGTTTCTGATTACTCAGTATTAAACTTAAAAGAAAAAAATATATTGCACCTTATTTTATGGTTTTACTAGAGACCCGCTCCAGCTTCGCATGGGTGCTAAGTATACATAAACCTTCCTCTTGAATCACTCTATTTAAAAAAATCTCATCAAAATCCGTTGAGTACTTTTAAAGATCTAAGCATACGAGTAGGGACAGACAGCGGAAAGCGGCTTTGTTTTATACCATGTAGTGAAAACCGACGTCACAACCGGTTGGTCAAACTTTAAGAGCTACCGTAGACATCTGAAATGACTCTACATGTACTAAACCGTCGACTTCACGTTTCAGGTTGATTTTAAAACTTGTCTGACCAAATTGGGAACTGTCTCATTTAAGAATTACAATTACAGACCTTTGGATTGACAGAACTGAACTTTCTACCCACTCTGTCATAATAAGTAGTAGCTGTGGTAGCTGCTGGACAAAGGTTTCCTTAACGACCGGTCCTACGCGGTGGTGTTGTTCTCATCATCATATAATTTAACTTAACTATATATTTAGCATTGAATTTCGTTCCTGACTGGGAGTTTTGTTCCCGTATTCCCTGCGTATTGAATTATTTACTCTTCATACTGCGTAGGTAGGCGTATAACGTGGTTTCTTACACAAATAGAACGCGTAAGCTCCTTTGTAAAACATCTATTCTGATCCAAGCCATCATTAATACATTATATGTATAGTTTTCAGGCACTTACAGCCTTCAGCTAGGTCTTTCGGACCTGGAACTATGCCAGGGGGCAACGCTCCTGACCCCTTATTATGCATGAAATTCTGTTTTGTCTTGAATATTTCTAGGTATTAACAAATTCTTGTGTTTTGGGGGTATGATTGCGTAATTTTTGGCAGCGGCAATCGTATAAATTAGCATATTTAGGATGTTTTCATTTTTTTACACAGTTTTTTGTGGTTTTGTGTTCTAGAACTAATGGAAAGAGATATCTGCTTTACATGAATTAATTTAGGACTTGTATGTTGAATTTGTTCTATTAATTTGTAGTGTTAAATCTATTATAGGCAAATATTTTGTCCAAAACGAATAAATTAATATTAACGACGCTACAAAACATTTAATTTACATCAGCTGATGAAAACACATTGTCACCATTACAGTGTAAACAAAACCTACTATTGCAAACAATCAGACGTACAAATTAGCATTTCATGATGTAGGATATTCATAAATTACAGGGCTGATGGGAAAACGCAAGGAGCGCAGCTGGAATTACAGTATTACAGTATCACGCACGAGCGTATCGCGCCGTAATTAACTATTTGTACCGTTTGCAATCGCAAAATGTACTTTAAAATAGCACAAATTGGTATTTATAGGACTTACAATGACGTGTTTTATTCGTTGGAGCTGTAAAAGTGTTGTAATAAAAAGCTGCCGGCATCTTACGACCACTGTGTATCTACTAAACTGTCTATAAAATGAAACAAACATGTCACAAGGCAAGTTTTTAGTCTTCTTCTGTCATGTAGGTTAATTGTGATGTCTTAATCAAACTTAATGAGGTGAAGCGTGGGATTATTAATTTTATATTTTCACATTAACATTTATGAGATTGAAATGAAATGAAATGAAAAAATAATCAATAATGCGCCCACATTTTTTTTAGAATTGTGTAGAAACAAAGTTTTTCGCACGTTTTAATGACGAAAAGGCTATGAATACTTAATATCATTTATACCACTTTATACTAACTACATTAGTATATGACGTAATACACTTTGAACTAACCTTTTACTGAGCAATATTCGTTTACCGTCAACTGATTTTTACTCTATTACAACTAAGCTAATAATAACATTGCGAGAGCAACCCTTGCTCGCTTCGGCGGATTATGGGAGAAAATATTAAAAGGTTTAAAAAGGTTACGAGACTACGTAAATACTTAATCTTGACAAATTTATGATAATATAATAAAAACAGTAAATAACTTGAAAAAATCGAACTACTTAATGACTATTATATCTATTTATTAGATCTTGGAGAAATGTGTAGTCGTGTTTTTTCTTAGTTTTGTAACTCTTGAAGATTTACTTAAGGCTATTAAGGCTGAGTTGCACCACCTTGCTTTAACGTTAACCATTGCTTTTATTATGAAGTTTGACGGATTTTTGACGTTTGTCAAAGTAAGATGGTGCAATTCAGCCTAACTCTTTTTCACCCTTACTCATTTTGCCACTTTGTATTTCTGAGTATCGTTGGGAGTGGAAAAATCGAAGAATGATTAGTTAATAGAAAAATATTCATCTCAAGTGTCGAATTTCCCGCTGTTTTGTGTAAGGTAGAAAACGTTTGGACGGAGTTGTCTTCTCGTGGTAGATCCATGCTATCGATTGTATAGCCTTCATTTTGCTTTGACGATGCAATTTGTTCAGTTCCCGCAAACCATATACAATCAATTCGGTTCTGTGGCTTTGTCAAACATAGGCGACATGCATACAAAGCAAAACTAGTAGTTATTGAATTTTATGTAGCCTCGAGAATCCAGCTTTGTTCGATCGACCTACAAACGTCTCTATTATAACTGTAATTTCCTTTTGTGGACAATAATATTGTGGTAATCGCTGTAATAATGTCGTTTTTCATGGGCGTAATACTTAATAATTACATTGTGGGAGTATCTTTAGTAATTCCTGTTAATTACGTGTTCAGAAGTTAACTGATCATAAATTACTGTCGAAATTGTGTTTTACGAACACTTTTCTACTCGTTCGTATTAGTTATTAGGTATGTATATATTTTTAAAATATTTACTTTTACTATTCACCAATCAATATCGAAGTTGGGCCTAGCTGATAACTTCATTGGTTGCTACACTGATTTATAAAGATTACCTAAGATATTGTGTGGTTTTGATACAGCGTTGTAAAAAAATCACTGGGATATATGATTTTTTTCTTTTCAATTCAGCACACGCAGACCTTATTTGTTTTAAATATTAGGACGAAGATCATTTTCCTTTACTATAAGGCCTTTTCGTTGCCCCAGGGCACTTAATTGAAGTGACATTTTTGCGCTATTTTTGCATTACCAAGTTATTAATATTCGTTGTGGGCCGTTCATCGTAATAATTAATGTTCCCGGGGTCTCGTAACGGACAATGCCATTAGAATATTAAGAAATGTTTTTGTTTCAAAGCTCTACCTTTATTTGAAAGCAATTTCATGAGGGCTGTTTGTTTGAATAAGTAAAAAGAGTGACGTCATGAATATTTCACGGCATGCCCCGAAGTTTTTTTAACTTCTTTTCAATTTTGCCAGTGATAATATTTTGGCACGACAATTTGTTTGCAAACGGAACGTTTATTGGAATGTCCAAATTGCTTAAACCCATAGCGCTTAGAGAAATTTTAAAAGTATTCCTTTCCTTTTGATAACAATTTAATAATGCAATTGACTTACCCGTAGTCACGCCCAATCTTTTCTAAATTGGGCTAATTTGATTATAAAGATGCGCGCTTTATCATAAATCATAATTAACAGATCTTGCTTCACGTTAAAATACCTACAAGAAATGATAAGCTGCTATCACGTAAAATTCTTTTTCTACAAGTGTTTTCCACGCCACTGTTATCGGAAAACAAAAAAAAAACTTAATATAAAAATTTCTAGCAATTGCTACTTGTTAAAAGTTACGTTACGAAGCAGTTTTTGGCAGCGATGCAGTTCGACGCTCCAAAACTTTGCACCCGCTTTTCATAACTATTATGAATGAATAAAGTA